AGCTGTAGGTCTTTGTGATGGTTGTTTTATAAATAAAGCATACAAATTTAATTTAAAATGCACAAATATTTACATTTGTTTGGAACTCTGGCCTAAAATAGCCGATTTATTATTGCAGGTGGTATGTGTCATAGTAAATAATGTAAACATAGAAGTAAACAGGAAAGAAGCCAGGGGCAGCCTTTCCAAGATTATACAACTCTTTTGAAGCAAGCAAATGGGGTAAAATTGATCATTTCCTTTGTTTTCAAAAGAATACCATTAGAGTTAAATAACAGTGATAGTGTCTCAACTTTTCCTCATATTAGGCTGAGAGATTATTCTAAAATGTTAGAAATTTTAATCAGTATAAAATTTTCCTAACACAGATTAGATAAACATCTCTACCCTTTTGTGTATGTGTGGTCAGGAGGATGGCTGGCGAGGAGATTTCTAATTGTTAAAGAGGGGGAAAAAAGAAACACTACAATTTTAGTTACCTATAGCACTTCATATACTAACTTGAGGTTTGAACAAAGACTTTTACCCTGTTTCCCAGAAATAAGACATTGTCTTATACTAATTTTTGTTCCCAAAGATGCTCTAGGTCTTAGTTTCAGGGGATGTCTTATTTTCCATGAAGAATATGGTACACATTTATTGTTTATTGTTTTATTCAAAGAGACCTCGCACTTCCTGTCTGCTCCGGCTGTGCTGCAGCCAACAGTGAGATGTGTGGCACCCACCAGTACGGTCCAGAGTCTAGAGTTACGGTAGTTTCAGGGGGCCTTATTTTCGGGGAGGTCTTATTTTCCGGGGGATGCCTTATATTTCAGCGTGAGACAAAACTGTACGCAGGTCTTATTTCGGGGGATGTCTTACTTTTGGGGAAACAGGGTAAGAACAAGATTAACACAGTTTGTAATAAAATTTAACATTGTATTCCAAGGATATGCTCATTTTAAAAGTTGAAAAATACCCAAGGCAGAGAAAAAAGGCCTATCTTAGTGAGGTCTTTGATTGAAAGAACACTCATCAATTTAGTAAACTCAGTCTACAGTGTAATCTTGGATAATAATACAGTTCTGTAAATAATAAATTTGAATGATTTGTCACTGCACTGGCGGAACTTCTGACTATAATCAAAATATACTTATATTTGTGTTGGATAAATACAATGTAAATATGATTTAATAATAATAATAAACACACTGAGAAATAAAATTTGAAGTTGTTTCCAAGAATATCATTTTAAATAATAATCATTAAAATAATTTTAGGCTGAAACATTTTTTTAACCTCACCCAAAGAATCTTTTTGACTCTATAATGATATAGTTAGTGGTTTATACTTCCTTGTGTTATTAATGATACACAAATCTTTAAAGAATGAGGAAAAAGTCAGATAAGGTGATAGAACTATTATTCTCCAAACACTACAGAGAGAACCTTTGGTCCCATACATATTTTTTTTTGCAATTATTTCTTCCAATGAGACTATTACATAGCTGCTGATTTACAGTCCCATCAACATCAGGACTACTGGTTCTTGCTATTATTCTACCTTTCTACACATTGTCTGGTGACTCTATCAGTTAAACATCGGCCTGCTAACCACAAGGTCATCAGTTCAAACCCACCAGCCACTGTGTGGGAGAAAGATGAACCTTTGTGTTCCTCTAAAGATTTGCAGCCTTAGAAGCCCTAACGAACAGTCCTCCTCCAACTCTGTCCTATAGGTCACTGCTCGTTGAAATCAATGGACAGCAGTGATACATTGCTATTTGAAGTGTGTAAATCCATCCATAAACCAGGGAGGCTCTTGAAATTATTTTGATTATTATAAAGACAAAACCTACATCCTAATACTCACTAAACCAGTGGTTCTCAACTTCCTAATGCCACAACCCTGTAATACAGTTCCTCATGTTGTGGTGACACCCGCCCCCCCACCATAACATTATTTTGTTGCTACTTCATAACTGTAATTTTGCTACTGTTATGAATTGGGCGATCCCTGTGAAAGGGTCGTTCAACCCCCAAAGGGGTTGCAACCCACAGTTTGAGAACCGCTACACTAAACACTGTGTAACTGCAAGCATGAATGAAAGAAAAGTAGGAAGAAACGTGAGAATGCAGAACTGCTTGAGAAAGTGAAAGAAGCATGCTTCCTGCTAATTGACAGATTCACTAGGTACAATACAGATTGCAATTCAATTTAAATTTCAGATGAACAACAAATAATCAGTTGTCCCTTGAAAATACTCTGTTGTTCAATAATATTCTGTTGTTCAATCAAGCAACCCGAATGCTTCCAAGTCCACACAAAACCACGAAGTATTACAAAACTAACAGGAAACTGTCACAACAAGAGCGCAGAGCACGTGCCCTCCAAGTCCCCGACGCGGACATGCGAATGATGAGGTCAACAGCAATAATGTAAACAGAGATGTGATGAGACACAGAGAAAACTTCCGTGCCTACATCCCCAAGACATGACTAAGAAAACCAAGGCTGGAGGGATGACTTTGGGGAGGGAGTGTGGCAGAAGGGCAAGGCTTCTGAGCAATGCAAAGTGACTTTTGTCCCAATCCTCACTTGCCTGAATAATTTTAGGCTGAGATGACAAGACAACTCTCCTCTTTAATCTTCTTTTTCTCAAAGATAAAATAGCTGAAGATACTTTCTGGCTCCAAATGTTCTATGAGGCTCACTTGTTTTTTTTTATATATACATAAAAGTATGCACACATATTTTTATTATAGTAAATATGGAAGGTATTTTAGATGTCAGCTATAAATTGAAAAGCTTCACACCTTAGGCTTTGTTGCCATAAACATAATGAAAAGTACAGTGAGTTTCTGGTTGCTTTGTTTAAATATTAAAATTAGAGCAGTAATTTTTACTTTTGCAATAATTTTCAACCTTTCTAACACAAGCACCAAATAGAAATCCCACTACCAAAGCAACAACACAAATCAAAAGCTGTGCACTCATTGTCAAAAATATAGAATAGATAAGATGCATACACTGAGAGTATTGGAATTCTTTTTCTTCTCAAAGAATGTTCCATTTCCATTTTAGAGTATCTTAGTATTGGACAGAAAATTCCAAGAAGGACATCAGAACCGTTCAGAGAAAGAGGATAGTATGATGAACTAGAAACTGTGAGGAATAACAGGATCATTATAAGGAAGCTTGTATTGATTACAGTGATTGGTCACAAGATAAATTTAACTTCTCACCAGACAAACGTGGAAAGTGCTGGGCGTGCGGCTAAATGAAAGCCTGAAAGTGACTGGGTTCTCATGGAGCGGCCTCATGACAGTGTTCTTAACTTTGGAAAACGGGAGCGACTGATTAAATACACCCTGTGAGACATTGTAGGCCGGGAAACTCAAGTCCATTCCAAACCCTGCGCTGTACTCCTTATTGCGCCACATAATGGCTCAGGCTAAGCTCCCGAGTTACCAGACGCCCTTTTGGCTCCAATTCTACCTGAGACTTGGCCTTTGCCAAGGAGAAACACCCACGTGAGATGTGCAGGGAGGAAATGAGACAGTGGCTGTAAGCACAGTGGTGGAGGTGTTTGTGAGGATGATGCTGAACTATTTTTGGAGTCATTCCTGGAAGCTCATTCTAGAACATGCTCCTCTAAGTCTTGGAACAACTTTGTAAGCTCCTAATTCCCTATATTAAACACTTTTCTAAGTAGAGGGCTTTCAGTTCTGTGAGACTGAATCCTAACCAAGTCAGACAGTTTCTTTTTTGTTTTGGGTTTTTTTTAAAAATCATTTTATTGGGGACTCTTACAGCTCGTATAACATCAATTGTATCAAGTATATTTGTACATATGTTGCCATCATAATTTCCAAAACATTTTCTACTCGTGTCCTTGGTATAAACTCCTCTTTTTCCTCCTTCATGCCCCCCTCCCACCCTCGTAAATACTTGATCAATTATATATTGTTATTATTATATTGTATCTTATACTGTCCGTTGTCTCCCTTCACCCACATCTGTTATTCGTCCCCTTTGGGGGGAGGGGCTATATATCCAAACTTGTGATGGGTTCCCCCTTTCACCTTCTTCCCCTTCCCAACCATCCCCTACCCTCATGATATCCCTACCCCCACTACTGCTCATGAGGGGATTATCTGTCCTGAATTCCAGGTACCAGTGGGTGCACCAGTGTATCTGTACCAATGTGTGTTCTTCAGTCTAGCCAGACTTGTAAGGTAGAACAGGGTTATGGAACTGGTGGGGGCAGAGGGTGGGGGTGGAACATTTGGGAGCTAGAGGAATGATGTATGTTTCATTGCTGCTATCCTGCACCTTGGTTGAATCATCCCTTCCTTATAACCCTTCTATGGGGGCATATCCAATTGTCTGCCGATGGGCTTTGGGTCTCCACTCCAAACCCCTTGTTTGCATCAATATAGCTATTTGTTTTGGATCTTTTAATACCTGATACCTGATCCCATCGATACCTCATGATCACACAGACTGGTGTGCTTCTTCCATGTGGACTTATTTGCTTCCCTGCTGGATGATTGCTTGTTTAACTTCAAATCTTTAAGATCCCAGACACTATGTCTTTTGATAGCTGGGCACCATCAGCTTTCTTCACCACATTTGCTTATGCACCCATGTTGCCTTCAGTGATCATGTCGGGAAGGTGGGTATCAAGAGTGCTGGATTATTAGAACAAAGTGTTCTTGTATTAAGGGAGGTCCAGAGTAGAGGGCCAACATCTGAAGTCAGACTGTATTTTATCTCCTCAATATTCCAATCAACATTTTCTGTTCTGAATGACTAGGCCATTTCTTGTTTATTGTGGGTTTTTTAAAATTTTTCAAGAAGGCCATAATTTGAAGCCTTTCATACAATAAATACACATTGGCATAACTGAATACCAATTACAGAATATTAATAATAGTTAAAATGCCACTCCAAAGGAAGGGAAAATAAAAGAATAAGATATCCTGAATTAGCTTCAAAGAAAATATTCTGTGAACATACCTGCCACAGCTGCATCCAGTTCATCATCCTCCAAGGACTCCTGTGTTGTGAAGTCTCTCAGAGGGGACAGTGGGTAGGATGAATTGAGATTCAAGCCCAACATGAAGTTATGCACCTTCCCGGCGCGTCCCTCTCGGGTATTGAACAGAGCGGAATCACTCACCAACGCCATTAACATACGATGAACCCAACTTGCTTGATTATCATTTTGATATTCCCTTTCAGCATCTTCATTTTCAGTGCCTAAGAGTTTGGGAAAAGGATATGATGCAGACTTGAAAATCCATTAAAAAAAAAGAGTATAAAAAATAAATAAAAATTTTAAAAAGAGTATAAGAAAAGAAAAGAAACTCTTTGGGTAACTGAATGTTAAAATTAACCACAGTTCTTTGACCTTTGATTTTCCATAAGTGTATTTGCATAAATTAATATACTAAATATTTCAGCTAATCACTTTTGTCTTCTTATATTGGTCTTTAGGTATAATCCCATTGCCACCATGTCAATTTTGACTCATTGCAACCTTTCAGGACAGAGTGAAGCAGCGACGTGGCCTTGTCAAGGCTGTAATCATCACAGAAGCACGCTGCCACAGCTTTCCCCCACGAAGCAGCTGTGGATTCACATAGCCGGGCTTGGAGTCAGCATCTAACCACTGTTCGACTAGGGCTCCGTTCTTCACCTTTAACCAAAGACAAATGAAACCCACTGCCAGTTGATTTTGCCTCATAGAGAACTTATATAAGACAGACACCCTAGACAGACTATACAACTCTAAGGGACCAGACAACCTCCTCATTCTCCCATGGAGCAGCTGGTGTTTTTGAACCACAGACCTTGAGGCTAGCTGCCCAGCACCTAACCCACAGCACGACCTGAGCTCTTTTTGTTGACCTACAATTTGTTTAAAAGTTGCATCCTTGACAGTACTAGTTGGTTTATTCAGTCTTCTTGGTAAATGTCTTCCATTCCCACCTTTTTCCCTGTCTACAGTCCTTTTTTCCTTCACACACACACACATACAGACACACACACACACACACACACACACACACACACACACACCAAAAAGTCCACATTAGTTAATTCCATATGCAACATTTTTAAGTTTTCTTCCCTATCTTTGATGATAAACACCCAAGAAGTGTACAAATTAAGATTGGATAACTAACAGGCTCAATTAACTTAATAAACTGGTGTTCAATATATGCCCTTATGACCAATCGTTCATGTAAACTTGTTATTTCATTGATACTTATAAAGTTTATGGTCTAAAGCCCTGTAATGTAATATTTAGGACCATCTTCCAAAGGCAGCAGTACTAAATAGCATTTTCTTGAAAACCTATGCATACTCCCTACTACTGGGAGGTACACTGGGTAACCCATCAAAGCCTGTGCTCCGAAGACTACCCAGACTCCACTATTTACTAGTTACTTAACCCTTCTCTGCCTCCAGCTCCTCGTCATTGAAGCTCACGGGATTGGTATGAGTCTTAATTGAGTAGATGCGTGCCTGTCACAATCGTAGGAAAATGTGTGTCCCACGTTAGTCTCTCTAAACAATAATAATAATAATAGGAGACGTAGTTGTAGTAGTAGTAGCAGAAGTAACCACACAACCAGTCGTCATTATCAATGTTATAAATTCTTAATCCAAAACATCTTAGGCTAGAGTATAACCTCAAATGATCTGCTAGTGGAAATTCTATACATAAATACATTGTTGCTGTTACTTGCATCTGATGTGGCTTTGACTCATGGAGACCTTAGGTACAACAAAGCTAAACATTGCCCAGCCTTGGACCACCTTCAAGATCATTATATACATGCGTAACTAAAACTGTATGCTTATGTATCTGATAAAAGAGAAAAGAGTGACTGCACAATCGGTTTGCTTTCTTCATAAATGATGTTCTTGTCATCCCACAGTTCATCAGATCTTCTGTCATTTGTAATCAATGCAGCACATTTGTTCTTGAGATGGTTTACGGTCAAGGTCGTGTTTGGGCTCTTGTGGAGTTGTTTTACTTTTCTTCAGCTTCAATGTGAACCTACACAGGAGCAGCTGATGATCTGTTCCACAGTTAGCCCCTGGCCTGGTTTCAGTTGCTGATATTAAGTTTCTCCATTATCTCTTCGCACAGATATAATCAGTATGGATTCTGTGTATTCCATTTGGAGAAACTCACATGTTGTTGAATAAAGATATTTGCTACAAACAACTCATTGATCTTTTGAAATTCTGTCATGCCATCTCCAGCTTTGTTTCTATCACCAAAGCCATATTTTCCAAAAGTACTTTTCCTTCCTCTTTGTTTCCAACTTATGCATTCTAATCACCAATAATTATCAATGCATCTTGATTGCATATTTGATCAATTTCAGACTGAAATGGTAGCATCCTTCAATTTCTGTATCACTAACTTTATTGGTTAGTGTATAAATTTCACTAATAGTTGCATTAGATTCCCTTGTCGGTGGAGAGATATTTTCCTATCACAGACAGCAGTACACTTTAAGATAGACCTTGAAATGTCCCTGTTGATTATGAATGCAACACCAGCCACTCTGTCCTGCAAGAAGTACAGCCAATGCTCCTTCAGACAAGGATGGCTAGATTTAGCCCTAGTACCATGGACCGATCATGAGGAGATACCAGTCCCTGGAGAAGGACATCATGCTTGGCAAAATAGGGGAGCAGCAAAAACAGGAAGAAGATTTTTGACAAGATGGATTGACACAGTGTCTGCAGCAATGGAGCCAAACATAAGCATAACAGTGAGGATCGGGCAGGACCCGGCGGGGTTTCGTTCTGTTGTTGTAGGGTCACCTTGAGTCAGAACCAACTTGCCAGCACCTAATGACAATGTTAAGATAGTCACACTTCACAACTGAAAATCAATAAAAGTAAGCATCCATAAAATGTAAGAAATATTGTCTTCTGTCTTCACAAGATTAGTTTTAACAGACATGATTAAATTATGGTTCTTTCAGCATCAATTCACATAAGTATATATTAACTAAAAACCAAACATACTGTTTTCTACTCCAATACTTTTCTGCCAACTTTACAAGAAAATTTTCACTAAAATAGAGCAAGTTTTAAAATAAATGATGTATACCTCCAGATACACATGCTATGTATATGCATTTCCAAAAATGTGAGGGTTATTATTATTAAATAAGTACCCTCTTCCATGGGTAGAGAGGATCTACCTTCTTTATGTTAGCCTGGAAAATGGCACCAACTCTGGAAAACATTCAGAAGTTAACAGGTTGTGATGTTTCTTATTCTTCAGCTGTAACACTAAGAATAAATATTGATTGGCATAGCCATGTGAAACAGCAGTCTGTTAACTGCTAGGTCAGTGGTTCCAAACTACCAGCTGCTACACAGTAGAAAGATGACGCAATCTTCCCCCGTTAAAGATTTATAACCTATAAAGTTCAATATGAGTTGAAATTGACTTGGGGGCAATGGGTTTGGTTTTAATGGCACAATGGGGTAAGCCTTGGGCTGATGTCCACAAGGACAGCGGTTTACAGCCAGCAACCTAGCGATGGGAGATAGACAATGCTGCTTCCATAAAGATTAGCATTCTTGGAAATCCTATGGAACAGTTCTACTCTCCCCTATAGAGTCATTATGAACTGAAATTCACCCAATGGCAGGAGGTTTACAATATAGAGCTTGCCGTATACATTTGCTACTTTGATATTACAAGTCTCTGAGAACAGGTTAAGTGATTCCATTTTGATTTGAAGAAACTAAAGTTGAACTTGCCTAAAGATGTTGCCCCAAATTAAATGTATCAAAATGAAGGGATCATAAGTAGGAGTTACTTTCTACCTAATGACCAGGATGGCCCTACAGGCTTCAGTATATCATCTGTTGCAATTAGGCAGCAAAAAAGTGTGGGGGGAAGGAATGAATCTCAGGGGTGCTTCTGCCACCAAAACTGGTCCCAGCTGGGCCCATTTTGATTTTCACAAGACACTGAGCAGTGGCCAAGTCAAGTACCTGTTCAGTTGCATTTCTCCAATTTGCACAAACTATCTTGTGAGGAACAATTTAATTAGAGAAGTTTCATTTCAGTGATGATTAAGCGAGGATAAGATATTTGTTGGAATTCGTCAAGTTTCAGAGACCCAAGACCTAACAAAATACACTGCTGTGGAGTCAATTACAAACCATAACAACCCTAAATGGAAGGGAAGAGCAGCTCGCTCGGGGTTCAGAGGCTATAGGCCTTTACTGGTGAGCCAGCACCATCAGTCTCCTGCAGGATAGATAGTGGGTTAATACTATAGACCTGAAATTTCAGTTAGCAGCTCAACATTTAACCCAATGCTCCACCAGAATCCTCAGTTTGGGATAACATCTTTTAATATCAACTAATTTCTGAATGATCGTACTCAGTAGGACACTATGATCATCCAGTTACTATAAAGTCGTCTCTTGGTTAACTTAAAAAAAAAAAAAGCTATGATGAACAATTTTATAAATCGTGGCTATCCTAAACACTGTGTTGTAATTGTAAAATCATTTCTTTGATCATAGAAGGTTCATAACAAATGTCCCTGATCCTCACCTTACCTCTGCTCTAATTCTACCCCTGGTGATTCTGATGCACACCAAAATAACTCCTGCCTGCCAAAGTGTTAAAGTATTACCATTTTATACTACCATTAACAAAGGTTAATGATAATTAGGCCCAACTTCATAATAATAGAAAATTGATAATTTGGGCACTGATTTCTCTAAGATAAGTGGTTTGGATTCAGGATTGGGATAAAAATACATTTTTTTGCATGCTACTTAATAAAAAAAGGGTTAAAGATAATTTTTTTTAAAATTAAAGCCTAATAACAATGTACTCAAATTAAAATGCCCATGCTTGAAAAGCCTGACATGCTAATCCAATATAAGATAGATTTTCACATTTCTACCATCACAGCGCTTGTTCTCCATTTGTCAGTTGAAAATATTTCTTGAGGTGTTAAGTATGCGACTTGCATAAAGTAACCTATTTTTACTAATGAAAAGAAGCAAGGGATATATATTGCTGCATAATTTATTATAGATACAACAATCAATCCCTTTCCTTCCATGGAAAGTTACACTCTTACTACTTCCGTGCCTAAAACAGGGCCTTGAGTGAGATAATCAGACACAATATTCACAGCCTTGCCCGGGAAGTGCTGCCGGAGACGGTTCCGGCTCCCTTACCTTTGGGCTCTTGGGATTCATCATCGCTATCTGAGCTGTCATTACTCACAATATGTTTTGCTGTAATATTTTCTGTGGAGACAAAACAAAACAATTGAAGTACCTCAGTTGTTAAAACTCCCAATTAAATTTACTACAAGAAAGTATTCTGAGTACAAAACACAAAAAGATAGATCTAGTGTAAATTGGAACCAACTTAGTAATATAGATTTATTAGAATTATCAGTGTTGACAGATTTCTCACTGGAAAACAAAATTGCACAAGATAAGAAATTAAACTAAAATTCATTCATTCATAATTTAGAGACAATCTGTGTTTAATTCAAACAAGAATAACTTTCATAAAGAAAGCTCTTCTTTGTAACACTTTTTAAAATTTAAAGATGTGTAAGGTGCATGTTAAGCTGTAGGAGGGTAAATAAAAAACAAAGCCCAAATCCGCCTATGGGATACGGAGCAGTTTCTTCAGAGAATGAAGGTTATAAATATTTGTTATGTTTTATTTTCAATGGTACTGAAACTCAAGTGTTGAAATATACTTTTTACTGTCAAAACTTTGTGCTTTCTGCTAAAGCTATTAAGAACATAGTTATAAAAAATAACTATAAACTTTTTTTTTTGAAATAAAATATCTTTTATTTATTAACAACTATAAACTTTTAAATAAAGACAGCAGCTAAAATCTAAAGTCATAGTCAATTATGTTCCCAGTTAAAAAGTATTCAAGTTATGGAACACAAAGATCATTATGATGAAAATTATTTTTAGAAAAATGAACCTTTTTTAGATATATAAACTCACTTTCTATATACAATATTTTCCCTTCTATTAGTCTATATATACTATACAATTTTCTTTAATTTTAAGAAACTGATTTCAAATAAGCTTATATCAGATACATAAAAACAGATCTTTGAGTTCCAAGAGTTTCTTGCCCATAACCCCAATATTAAAACATCTGACCCTCCAAAATTAGCTTTTTTAAAGGAAAAGAAATGCGAAAATACTGAACATTCTAAAACATTATCCATTTCCTTTTCTGGTTTAAAAAGGGAAGTAAAAAACAAAGATCATTAAACCATGATCTACTAAAGAGTCTGTGGTTCCTTGGGTTTCGTTTCAGTTTGTACCAATTAGCTACAAATAGATAAAAGATAAATTTTTCAAGAGTTACATTTTTAATCTAACTTAATAACAACACATAAATAAGTCACTGTGGAAACTTAAAAACTGTATTTAAATTTCTGTAAAATTTCCAGTTCTCAGGAGCATTCTTCCTTTATCCAGAGAAATAAACACTCCCAAATAAGCAAATTATTCACATCATAGAGAAATAAAATATTGCACTGTTATTTAATTTTTAATATAGATTCCTTTAATTCATTTTCTTTTAGTTATTTCAAACAATTTTAGCAGTTGTATTGAGTCTACTTTAAGCAGCTTGTTTTTAGAATCATACATATAGATTAAATGCTCAGAATAAATCCATGGCTTAATATATTTGTGGATTCATTATTTGTAACAGTGTTAAAATATATTTGCTACCCAACTCTCAGAGGTCTTAAAGTGTTATGATCAAACAAGCAGACATCTAAGTGAGAAGTCAATTAAAACCACATGGAAGAAGCACACCAACACCCATGACCCAAGGATTGTAAATTAGCATCCAAAACCAAAGGAGGGAATAGTATCAGAGCTGAAATTGTGGGATTCTAGTGAACAGAAGCCTGTGAATGACAGCAGAAGCCAAAAATACATTTGCAGAATCGACACAGGGACTAAGACTCTAGTGATTTCCATCGAACCAAACTTGCAGGATGGAAATAACCTGGTTATCAGACCAAGAGTATTGATCAAGCTGACTTGAATGGTTAAAACTTTTTCATCTGATTTCCCTTTTGATATACTTTGTGCTTGATCTGGTTTTTTATGTTTGCTGTTTGCTTGTTCCTTTTTTTTCTTGGTATGAGGTTTTATCGCTGTATGCTTTGTCGCTGTTAGTAGCTTTCTTGACTGTTAGGTGCTTTCTATGGTTTGTTTTGTTTTTTGGTATATGAGACCCAGGATGGATTAATCTTTAGAGACACTAACTATAATAAGGGTGACTGGGAGGTACAGTGTGGGAAATGGAAGGTAAGGGGGAGCTGATATCACAGAGTAAAAAAAGGAAGATGTTTTGAAACAGATGTGTCAGCAATTGTTCAACAATGCTTGATATGATTGAACTATGCAATGGGATGACATCTGGATTAGGTCCAAATAAAATGGTATGAAAAATATATATATACAGTGAACCCTCGCCATTTCGCGCTTCGACTTCCACGGCTTCACTCTATCGCGGTTTTTGCATAACAGCGCATGCTCTGCCATTACTGCCACTGATTGGCTCATACTGTACACACTTGATGCCATAAATAATATAATAAATAATAAATGATAATTGTAACGTCCAAAATGTTTTACTGTATTTTCCCTTTTTCGTTTAATAAATTGGGTAATACGAGTGTAATGGTGACGAAAGGGTGTTTTTTCATGTCCTCTATGCTCTAACTACGAAAAGATTTGATTTACAAATAAGGAATCCTACTTCGCGGAATTTCATTTATCACGGTAGGGTCTAGAACCGATTAACCGCGATAAACGAGGGTTCACTGTATATACATAGAGATAGAGAGAATTATAGGTGTCCTTTTGTCACTGTGATCATGTCTGTTTATTATTGCTGTTGTCAGGTGTTGTCATGTTAGCTGACTCCTAGAGACTCAGTGCACAACAGGGTGAAACAATGCCCGGTCCTCCACCATCCCCACAATTGTTATATTTGAGCTTATTGTTGAAGACCTTTGTGTGACTCCGTATTTTGCGTGGTTTGTAACCTAAGGGGATCATCTTCTGACACACTCTGTCACAGAATGTTCCACTATGATCCATAAGGTTTTCAGTAGCTAATTTTTCAGACGTGGGTCACCTCTACCTTTTTCCTAGTTTGTTTTGGTGTACAAGTTCCTCTAAGACCTATTCACCAAGGGCAACCCTGTTGGCATCAGAGATACCAGAAGCCTAGCTCCCAGCATCACTGCAACCCTCCAGCCATCGCAGTAGGTCCAACTGACAGAGTGGTTAAGTGCATGAATGACGTAGTGATGGAAGGATTAATAAATGCTTGAGGTAGTAAATTGACATGGATATTATTTTTAGATTATATATAATACTACATTCTTTATCTTTACTTGCATGATGATATTAATGAAATCCAAGAAAAGAAAATGTTTGCTGATTAATATTATCCATTCCGTTTCATAATTGCTACAGAGAGTACTATGATTGTATAGAGGAAGGGGGGGAAAGAAAAGAAATGATCATCTTTAGGTGCCATATAAAGTAGGTGTGTTTCTGGTCCGATATGTATTTTGGAAATAAGAAATAATGTTCTTTCCTAAAATAGTAGTTTTTCTGCTTACATTTGATACTGTGATTTTAAAAGATGCTTTATTAAATGTTATCTTCTTTATAAGTAAATTTCTACTGGATAAATTTTCCATTATCTAGTATAATGTTTAACTCTGGGTACACAAAGCCTTACATTACTCACATTCCAAATTCTTGAAGGAAGTAAAGACTTTGATTTAGAGTTGCCTGACTATAGTCCAATTCATATTAAAGTTTTTCTACAGAATGGAGAAAAGAGACCAAAACTATCCTGAGCCTCCCGTTCAGAGGTAGAACTTCAGCCAGTGAGTAGTTGAAGAAGTTGACAGAAGTTCTAAGGTTCGCCTTTATGATGATTAAACCTTAATGTGGTCTGAGGTAATGGTCGTGCTGCTGATTGGTCGATCTCCAGCACACAGTGTCCCCCTGTGCTAGACACGCGTACAGAGGGCATAACCGGCCAAGCCCCGGCCTCAAAGCCACAGTTCACACCAAGGAAACACCCTCCATTCCTGGGCCGTTAGCAATGACCTAGCCCTCTTCGTCCCTCTCTCTTCCTGCCCCAGGAGGAGAAAACACCCTAGGCTTACGTTGAGTATTCAACAGTAAAGGCGCTATGTAACACAGTCGTTTTCTATTTCTTACTTTTATTTTCCTTGAAATTGTCAAATGATTTACAGAGGAGTTGTTTACACAGAATTATAATGGAGACCTGCTGCTTTGGTCTCACATTCAGATAGAATTTCACTATTTCTTCCCATTATTGGTCAAAACATCCCTAGCCAAAGTCATTGCTGCCTAGAATACAGAATAGCAAGACTTTTTAGGGTGGGGATGGGGAAGTAGGATATGGAATAAATATCTTGTTTGCTTTCTTAAAGCCAATTTTATTTGTCAAAGAAAATATATATTTCTCTAGCATTATTTTTTCTTATTGCATATGAAAATCACCAGATCTTTCAAGTTTTATAAAGATTAGCATTAATTATAAATTAAATTGAATAATAAATACTATATAAATAAATACATTTATATGCACAGTGTATCATTTAATTTATTAAGATTATTAAGCTAATTATTAAGAATTAATTAGCTGTGGCTTATAAGAGTTTATATGAAATATTTGCTTTCCTTCTATTTGTTATAAACTTCAAGTTACAAGAAATTAACAATTAGTACTTAAGGGAGTTAGTATTTAAGGGAAAAAATCCATCTGAGGTCCAGGCAAAAAGCATGAATTTAGTGTCAAAATGTGTTCTACTGTTGATAAAGGTAGAATTTTAAAAGTTTTTCTTATTTGGGAAAGGTAGAAATCACTAAGGAAAATTATACACTTAGATGTATAATGGGGAAAAGAAATGGAGATGCCTTAAAGAAAACTGTTGTTAGCGATCATAGTAATTATGATTGTCACAGTCTCAAGGTCATAATGACACTTAAGTGGTCTAAGAGTTTTAGAAAAACCTTTTTAAAACATTAAAATAATTACAATTTTTATGATGACTTAATTTCACTCTGTATAAGTATAACTTACATATCCATATGGTAATGAAATGTATCATATAGCTTTACAAGTATATAATTTTCCCATACCTAATTCTTCCTCCATTGTGGAACCTTTATTTTGTGAGCCAGAAACCCCCAGGACTCTGTTGAACAGTATCGAAAAGGCACTGCCCCAGACACCTAAAATAAAGCAAACACAGAACCCCATTTAGAACTTACCAAGACTTACACAAACTAGCAGTGATAGATGGTGGTCTCTTACCCATTAGAAAATGCAAAGGGTTTTCTTCATATTTCTTCACAACTGTTCCCATAAAAAATTTGCTTCCAAATAAGTCAGGGGCCATAAAAGTACCGTATTTAGCCATGCCGATCTCATAGGGGCTGAATTCAACCCAATCTGAAAGCATGTGAGAAATGAGACAATTGATTAATAGGGAAATGTTACACAGATCTACACAAGGGGCATTTAAATAAAGCCTTAATTCTTATCACTGTGTTTGCTTCAAATATGAAGATAAAAATATTAACCAAATGCCTCACAGACATGACATTCTGAAAGAATTGATGACAAAAATAAAAGGTTATCAATAAATAAGACAACAGGGGAAAAAAGACCTCCAGTTTGCATAAAGTGACTATCATTTTCCATTTAAAAACTGATTGTTTAAAAATCCCATTTTAATAACAGTGGAAAATTATAATTGTGGACACAAATGTATAATTTGTGAAATAATTAGAGGAAATTTAACTTTCTGACAAGGTAGTCTATGAAAGTGGAAGAAAATGTCTTCCAACATTTCTGTTTTCTTCGTTTCATTTAATTGACAGTTTCCACATGGGTTGATTCAACCAATAGTAGATTGAAGATATTGGTGGAGGGAGGGAAGATCCAAAAGGAAAAACGTTTTCACTACATGTGTTATGTGTACCCTTTGCTTCTGGGTGGGAGACAAGGTTCCCAAAAACCAATGAAGTGGTCAAATATAACCCCCAAAGGCTAAGAGGGAGTATAAGGCGCTGTTGACATAGCACTGATGTGTGTGTGGTCTTACCGAGTAATCCAGAGAGGATTTACAGTATATGGCACGGTAGGCATAAGTTATATGGAAACGCTAATGCTTTCATCTAAGAAACTTGGACATCCTAGGAGGAGAGAGCGGGAGGCCCTGGGACTGAGTGTTCTGGACCCGATCCCTGTTAATACCTAGGGACAACTCTACAAGATTATAATTCACGTTTTTTACAGATGATGTCTTAGAAACACGATGATTGAAGGGCCTGTGGAGTATACTGCCTAATAAAGAAAAGAGGCCCTGGGCCAGGCGCCTCGAGTCCACATTCCGCTGCAGCAATGCAGCCAATGATACACTATGGCTTTTCTTGCCACAGCCTTTGTGACTCTCACCAGAGGACTTTCGTCTTCCTGGTGGGTCTGAGTAGGAAGGTTGAGGGAAGATGGGTCAGTTGTGAGTGATTATTAACAGAGTTGTCATTGCTGTCCTGCGGCCACAAAGGGAAACCGTCTCAGAAATGGGAGGTGGGGATTACACTACCCGCAAGAGAGAAGAGCCAAGAGTGGAACATGTCCTCCGGGTCTAGAGAGCTATCAAACCTTCTGGCTCCAGAAGACACTGCGGGCACCAGAAGAGTGGCAGAGGAGCAGCGACAGCAGACCGGGGAATGAGACACAGCAGTGAACGTCCCAGCCCACAGACCAAGTGAAGCTGAGTGCTTTAAGGAAGAAGGTAAGCGTGTGGAGTAGGGTGCCACTGGGATTTAGTGGGGGGGGCGGGGGGGGGCAGGGGGGGGATGCTGACCTACAGAGGGCCTTTGGATTAAGGCTTACAGTGGGTTGACATGCCCTTTGGACACTCAATGACAGCCCTAAAAACCTCTGTAACATTATCTGAGCTGGGCAAAGCCCAGACCAAGTGGCTGAGGGCCAGAGAGGGCTGCATGTGGGCATGGCAGAGAAGAAACTCTCTTGACTGAGTAATTGTATCATGAGCATTGTAACCTGAATTGTAACCTGCTAACCTTCCTAATAAACTTTCCTAATAATCGAGAGCATTGTCTGAGTTCTGTGTGGTCATCACATTGAATCCTGGAAGCCAGCAGAAAACGCAAGTGCTGTAGCAGACAGAGCAATAAAAGTAGAGAGCCCAGTGGGAGACAGAACAGATGGTGGCGGAAGAGGGGGAGCAGGAAGGAAGGTGAAAGCATGTCTGACCCCGCCTTTGAGACAATCAGCCGTGGGAGTGGGAGAAGGTACGATGCGGCCCCCACAACAGTTTCTCAGCTGCTTGTTAATTCAGCAGATGGCTTGCTCTCTTCTGGATTAGCTCCTTAATATCTAAAATGTGAATAAAAACCAGGCACCTTGGAAAAAGTTTATAAGAAGTAGCCTATTGAAATAGCTCAATCAACTGTAACTGATATTATCTCCGATCCATTCCCAAGGCTACAGCTATGTCTAATAATTATTAATATGTTAAAAAGACACTTGCTGTCAAGTCTACTCCCACCCATAAAAACCAACTAGGACACAGAATAAGTGCCGCATAAAGTTCCCCAAACTGTTATTTTTATGGGACCAGACTGCTTCATCTTTCTTCCACAAAACAGTTGGTGGGCTCACACTGTCCGCTAATAGCGGAATGCTTAAAGACTGTGCCACCAAAGCCTATATGAAAGTGATAGTCTCCGAAAACAATTCTTCGTTTTTGACTCCCATTTACTTTACGTGCAAATTTCTCAGTCTTCATTTCGTAAGCAATACATCTAATTGGAGCCCTAGCGGTGTGCAGTGGTTAAGTGTTCAGCTGCAATCCACATGGTCTTCAGTTTGAAAGCACCAGCTGCTTCATGAGAGAAAGATGGGGCTTTCTACTCCTGTAAACAGTTACACTCTTGGACACCCACAGGCGGATCTCTATGAGACAGCATTGACTCAATGACATTGAATTGGGTATGGGGCGGGGTGGGGGGGAGGCTTTAACATTAACTTTGTTCCACTACTCTCCTATTGGTTTATCACACGGTGGCAGCTGGCATGACGCTAAGCCACTAGCATTTCCAATAGCAGCAAGGTCACTCATGGTACACAAGTTTCAATGAAGTCCTGATTGTGACAGATTAGGAAGAAAAGCTTGGCATCTGTTTCTAAAAATTTGTCAATGAAAACTTATGGATCACAACTGAATATTGTTTGATGTAGTATTGGAACATGAGCCTTCTCACTTGGAAGGCACTCAAAATAGGATTGGAAAATAACTGATTCAGCAATTAACTCAAGACTATAGTAGTCTTGACCCTGGCATTGGACTGGACAGGACAAAGTTTCCTTTGTTACATATAAATTGTCCATGAGTTAGGTTTGATGTAAACAAATATACATGTACAACATTACTCTTGTTGGTCCTCTTTCTCTTACATCCTGTATCTGAAAAGTCAAGTGCTGTAGATTTTATTATTATATGAGGGAGTACCAAAAAACACAGATTTTTTTTCCACCCAAAGCTATGTATTTAATTTTTTTTACAAAATAACCTATCACCTTCAAAGTACTCTCTATTACACTTAATACATTTGTCAAATCTGTGATTCCATTTTTAGAAACATTTTTTCGACTCATCTGTTTGGATGGCTGACAGCACCTCTCTCATTTTTTCCTTTATCTCTTCTATGTTGTCAAATCGCTATTCTTTCATGTCCCTTTTCATTCACAGAAACAAAAAGAAGTCATATGGAGCGAGGCCAGGTGAGTAAAGTGGATGGGGCAATAGAGGTATGCTGGTTTTTGCCCAAAACTGGCACACAGAGATGGCTGTGTGAGCAGGTGCATTGTGATGGGAAAACCAGTCCCCCATCTGCCACAAATCGGGCTTTTCTGTCACACACTGTTAAGTAATATTTTCAGAACCTCTAAGAATGAACTCCAAATGCACTAGGAGTCAACATTTTCATCTATTCGGGAAGTTGACGGAAGTCCAGCATGAGATTTGTCATCAATCGACATTTCACCTTTTTTGAAACAAGAAAACCACTCGTACACTTGAGTTTTCCCACAGGATTATCCTTGTAAGCTGTGTTGAACATCACAACAGTTTCTGTGCCATTCTTCCCTAGCAGGAAACAAAATTTTCACAGCTGAATGCTGTTCTCTTAAATCAGCCTTCACACACACACACACACACACACACACACACACACAAACAAACAAACAACAAAAAAACCCCACCAAGTTTGTCCAAAACTGCTTTCACGAAAAAGTTCATTGTGACCAGAGAGAACCTTCCCAGGTGATGCCATTGGATGCACTAAGAGCAAGTTGCTTGCCTAGCAAAAAAAAAAGAAGAAAAATGTATACTACGAAAACTCCACCCAGTGGAGTATTTCTCCATTTTTTTTGCAGTACCCCCTAGTATATTTTAATACGTAGCTCAATTGCTTGCCAACTTGCCCACTACAACCACTCTGGTCCAAAATGCCATCCATTCGCCCCTAAATCTCAACAATAAAAAAATAAATAAAACAACTCACAGCAACCCTATAGGAAAGAGTAGAAATTCCCTTTAAGGTTTCTTAGACTGTAGATCTTTAAGGAAGCAGACTACCACCTTTTTATCCCATGGAGTGTTCAAACCCCCAAATGCTTAGCAGCCAAGTGTCTTAACCACTGATCCACCAGAACTTCTTTATCTCTACAACAGTCTCCTAAAATGTGTCTATTCTATTGCTCTGTACCCAGAATCAAGTTTAAAAAATGTAGAGTAGGGTACACCAATGCAAACTGAAAGCATTCCAATAGCCTCTCATGACATTGAAACTAAAAATGTAGCTTACTATGTTCTGTGATGGTCTGGCTTCCTGCAATTTCTAATCAGTATCCTGTCAGGTTTCACCTTCCTTATTTCACGTCAGCCACACAGGTCCTCTGGAGTTCCTCAAACAAGCTAACCTCACTCTAAAGACAATTGTCTTTATGCTTGTTTTGTTTTTTTTTCATTCCCCACCCCCACCCGCCCTACGCTTGTTATTGCCTTATGCAAATATAAATCTTCCTTATTATTTTAGAAATTGTTTTATTGGCATATATTTCACATAGCATACCATTTAATCATTCAATCATATTAAGAAGAGTTGTGCCATCATCACCACAATCAATTTCAGAACATTTTCTTCTTGTACTCATTGTTGCTAGCTCCCTATTTCCCCCAACCTCCTTCCCCTTTCCCTAGGTAATTATTAATCCATTTACTATCTTTAAAAGTTTACCTATCCTGGATTTCATTATGCAGAAAATCTTAAAAATACAAGCAAGAAGCAAATAAATAAACAAAATAACATCAAGGGACAGACAAAACATAATATAAAGTCAATTGAAAACAAAGCAGA